ATGATAGCTGATGCCCCTGGAATTGAAAAGAAGAATAAAAAGACAATCTTACAAATTATAGAAAATCATGATGATTAAACAGTCAAGGTTGTGCCGAGTCGAGGCGGTACTTCGCTATCATTAGTTACATCTAAATTTTTGAGGCCTAGTATGAAATCTTAACACCTCAAAAAAAAAAAAAAAAAAAAAAAAAAAAAAAACAACCGGAGGTATATAAGAAACTGTTTCAACATTAATATTCTGGACTACTAATAGCAGACAACACTTATAAGAGGAATATTCAGAGAGATCAATATTCTAAAAAGCTTTTCGAAACATGAGAAAAAAAAACATCTCATCTGTACCAAGTTAAAAAAATCAAGAAATGATTTTTTGAAAAAATCATGTTTCCCTCTGGTATTGTAGTGCAATACCTTCCGTGGATGTCTTTGAGATCTAATACCAAATTATTGGTAGTCTGTTAAATGAAAATAAAACGTACCACAAGTTTCATATTTGTAAAGTGCAACACTGTTTTTGTAAGTGGCGTCGTTTCGTAAACATCCTTTATCTCTTAAACAGGCAAAAACAGGGGCCTTTTGACTGAAATCAATACAAAGCAAATGTTATCAATAGTTTTAGTATAGTATTAAAGTTTAAGAATAATTAATTCCACTATGCTCTTAGTGCTACTATCGCACATAGAATTCAGGTCATTTTAAGTCGATCTCTTCAATTCTTTCTGGAAGAAGGACGAACCAGACAGTACCATCCATTCTTAAAGCAAGAATAAAACAGTATAAAAAAATGGAAACGTTTTACTTACTCGCAAGTTATGTCATTTTTATTTTCGAGAATTTGTGCATCTAAACATGTAAAAGAAGCAGTGGTACATATGAATTCCTCCGAAAATACTAGATCACAGGTTAAAGCTAAAATAAATATATATAATATATATCATTATGGTATGGGTTAGCTCTTAAGTACATTCTGTAAAATGCCATTGAGAATAACAAATGAGATGCAGGTAAACACGCTCATGTGATCACTAAATTTAGTTTTTCATTAATGAAAATGAAAATGCTAATACTTATATGAATAGAAAGTAGAGGTGTTCTAATGAAAAATACCAGTTTGTCTCACTTGTGCATAATCAATTCATAATTAGCTAAATTAGAAGAGAATTACCAGCAGAATTCCAATAAGTGACCGATCAAGAAAGGTCAAAAAGTCTTTTTTTGTTTATCCAGACTGCACATAAATGGACATTTATGATTGGTTAAAACTCTTATTAATATGCAATAAGGACATAATGATGTGAATACGAATACATGATAATTCATATGAAACACCAATTAGTTTGCCTAATTTGACACTAAAAAATAAGGAAACTTATCTTTAATCAAAGAAATGTTATTTAGAAATAAAGACATCGTCATTAACAAAGACTAAATTTGGCAAGTGCCTTTGAATACCATCAGGGGTAACTTGCAAAACACGAAGATATGTTTATTTATTTATATGCTTTGACTTTCTAAATATACGTTAGCTTTATACTCTGGATAAACTTCAACAATGTTAATGAAATAATGGTTGTTTATTACGCAATATGTATATCTGTTCCAATTAGTATTACTTTGCAAAGTAAAATGATATTTATAGCATGGGGAAAAGGAGGGTCTGAGTACAAATTTAATGGGTTTCAAAATCAAGGGCAGTAACTCATTAAATATTTTTCTGAATTTCAAATTGATTCATCCTTGGCAAACAGTTTCGCTTCAAAATATCGTTGGAAAATGCACTCATGTATCTTTCAATGTCATTTATCTCCGTGCAAGGTCGCCCTAAGTCTGTACGTCACTCTTCCAGTGACTGAAATAGATTAAAGGAGTTACTTCACACTTAATGGAAACCAGTAAAGTTATCAACTACCAGATGACAGTGCTGGTTTTTGGTCTTTTGTTATGAGTATATTTATAAATGGCTTTGTCATTGAGACCAAAACATTGGTAGCTTTAATTTGTGTAATACGTTACGTTTTAATCATATACTAATTTTTCTCTTTTTTTTATTGTAATGTCCTTACTGCTGGATTGCCTTTTTTTAAATAAAAACGAACGTCTAAAGCGTAGAATTGTCTCCGGACACTTGGGTGGGAAAGGGGTAAGATACAGACACTGGAGAAGAGAGTTGTCTAAGTACACTATGGTTGTAAGTAAGGTATCTGGTTGCGGATCAGGTCAAGGTCGTAGAGTCTAGCCACCAGTAAGGAACCAACCTACATACTAACCAACTATAGAATAAACTTGTAACATTTAGCAGTTTTGTTCACACAGGCAATAAGTAACTCATATGTTTCAATTTCCAATAGGGGTTTTTCTTTGGTGATAATAAACATTTACACCAAATTTTGTCGCAATCCATTAACAACTGTGCCTTCTAGAATGTTAACGAGCAAAACGTGACATATTTGACGAGCGCGTATGAAAAGGTGTTTATGACATTCTAATACACTTTCTGTCCAATGTATTACAAAATTTCTTTATATTTTATAAGTGTTGGACATTCGGCCATTAAAGTCGTAAACATGTTTGTAATATTTAAAAATATTCTTCAATATGTCTTATATCTATTATTTCTTTTTTTAATGCATTCTAATAACATTGATATAGAACATTTAGTGAAAGAAAATATAGTTTTTAAAAGTCCTCCATCATAAACACCTATCATGCCATTTATATACAATGTATCGATTTTTTTAACCATATTGCAATTATGAATAGAAACGATTAAGCATCAATAAATAAAAATTAAACTAAAATAAGGTGGTACTTACCTAAAAAGGAGAGGATGACGAAAGTTCTCATGTTGGTTATTGGCGGTCTTGTTACATACATTTATTGGTAACGTATTTGAGGGTTGCACGATTTATAATGACGCCTTGATTTCATTTAATACTCAATTTGAAGTTCGTCAAAGTTATAAAATCCTTGACAGATCGTACGATATTGTTAACAAGGAAGTAAAGAACAATTGCATATATTTTTAGATTTCACATGTGTCTTAGCAAGATTAGTGCGACGTGACGTCATTAAATGCTCAATATCGCAAAACGATTTTTTTCAAATTGTGATTCCAATTTAAGGTTTCAAATGTGATTTTCGGGACAACATTATCTACCATATTGACCGATTGTTTCAATTTTAGCACTCTAGAATTTTGATGAAATCCACAGTTGTTTTTGATATCTAACATATAAATATTAATTACGGAATCTCCGATGCTTGTTCTTCGACTGGCGCTACGCTCTTATTCATATAGAAACTATCTTTCGAGATAGGATTGCAATAGCCTGCCTTAACAATCACCAGTTTAAAATTGATTTGGTATTATGTCTTACTTTGTTTTTTTTTTTAAATCTCATTTTAACAATACAGTGCATTTGTTCGTATGAATGCATTTATATCAATTCAGTGTTCATATACAATACTTTCAATACATGAGAAGAATTTAAATTGGACAATAAAGTAATATATGCATATATCATGAATAGAAAAACTTGTTTCGACAGTTAAGTCTTTTATGTCCTGACTGCATTAATATAGTTTATAAACAACCATAAAACAAACAAAAAATATAATAGAACGATATATTGTTGACTGTTGAAAATATTTTACACTGTGAACGTATTGAAAGGTAATCAATAACATGTATTGTCTGAAAAATCCCAACAGAGGCAACCATTATCATTTTTAAATGGCTTTCAATGTTGCCGAAAATGCATTTTTACGTCGTACATTTGGATGTTTCCAATAACGCGGCAAAAAAAAATGGCGACCGAAATCTTAAAATGGCGGTGGTGTGTAACTTATTTGCAAATAAAATATCAGTTTAAAACCGTTCCCTGCCGATATAAGTTTTTAACCATTCATATGAAACTGCATGCTAATATTCCCTTAATGGTGGAATAAAATAAAATATTGTGGTTATGAATTTTTTAACATAAATTTATTCAAACGCGAAATCAAATACGGCAATCGTTATTTCATTGATTTAATGTTAAATGTACACATTCTTTTGCCACCAATCAATGCTAACAGTAAGGTATTGATATTACAAAACGGTTGTATTATGAGTGCACAAGTTATCTTATTGACAATTTTTAATTTACAATGTTTTGTTTGTGTGGTCTTGGTTACTTCCCAAATGAAGTCAAAATAACTGATTAGCCGGCTAGATCAGTCAGTGTTAAAACATCTCTCTTTCTGACCAGCCTGACCGAAACCTGTAGCTATAATCGAGAAGTTTGCATAAGACAGTCACACACATATCTGCCTGTTTGTTGATAATGTTTTCCTTACGGTTTCCGTGTTAGTATAAACCCTGAGTAAGAAGCTTTGTTTGTATACATTAGAAATTATAGGACTTCTGCCACCCAATTGACAAAGTTGATCTATATCTCACACTTTTTCCTTATTTTACCACAAGATTTTTGTTCGATCATTAGAAACAAATAAGAGGTTTTATAATATACAAACATGTTGGTATACACCATGTGTACATTTAGATATTTTTTACATGACTCGCTCCGTGCAGAAAAACATTTATTTGTATTCAGCTTTTGATTTCTATGACAAAACCCCATACACGCCCCGAACTTTCTTTACTCAGGGACGTTTCTCCGAAGTATTGATTCTAAAAAATGCACTTTTGCAAACTGAGTTAAGTAGGGTTCAGTTTAATGTACAGGCGATGTTCTCACCAAGGCTCACTAATCTCTTCAAGTGACCTTTGTATTCCATCTCTGGAGCTTCTCGGTGCGACTTTCTGCAACAATTATGCATGTAAGACACATAAGTGACCGCAGATCATCATATTGTTATCGATAACCTTAATCTCATTCATATTGTTATCGATAACCTTAATCTCATTCATATTGTTATCGATAACCTTAATCTCATTCATATTGTTATCGATAACCTTACTCTCATTCATATTGTTATCGATAACCTTAATCTCATTCATATTGTTATCGATAACCTTACTCTCATATTGTTATCGATAACCTTAATCTCATTCATATTGTTATCGATAACCTTAATCTCATTCATATTGTTATCAATAACCTTACTCTCATTCATATTGTTATCAATAACCTTACTCTCATTCATATTGTTATCAATAACCTTACTCTCATTCATATTGTTATCGATAACCTTAATCTCATTCATATTGTTATCAATAACCTTACTCTCATTCATATTGTTATCGATAACCTTAATCTCATTCATATTGTTATCGATAACCTTACTCTCATTCATATTGTTATCGATAACCTTACTCTCATTCTTTTCCCTATACTACTGGCCATCTGTGGACGTTAACATTCACTTGACAACAATTGCGATGCATATGTTACCTCTGAGACACATTCAAACTCAAACGAAGGTCGGGCAAAAGTTATCGGCACAATCGAGGTGTACAAATATCAGCATTGTGTAAAAAGTCAATGTTAATCTTAATGCCCAAGGTAGAAGTGCATCAGCATCAATGCATGTGCTGTAATCACACAACAGAAGAACCCTGAGTAACCATCATCCGAATTTTTTTCATAAACGTTATCTGTCTTATAATACTGTTAATAATGTATTGTTAAAGATATTTAAAATATTATAAAGAGATAGGTTTTGTAAATCCTAGATTATCCTGCAATATTTTCCTTTTTTTCCTTTTAAATTGTATGTCACCACCTAACGTTACAACAATAAATTCGATAAATGTAGGGAATGTGGTCAAAATCAATATTTGTCAATATTTAGCATAAACATGTTTACTCAATAAAACAACCAAAATGTCCCCATATAAACACCAAAACGAAAACAAACACTGCTTTAGGTAGACATCCGATATTAAAAGAAACCTTTTCGACGGCTTTTCCTTATCCGATGAATTTTAAGCTCTTATCTTATAATAATCTGACGAACTAGATTTTCTCCAAATGAGCCTGGCACTATATTGATGTTTAACAATTCGGAAACATAATCTCGCTTCCCAAATGCAGGGTTATTTTTGGATTACCGAGTAAGGCATATTTCATTAGCAACGAGAATGTCTCCAAATGAAGATGGGTATACGACTTGGGTCAAATATAATTTAGAAATCCGGATTAATTACATATGTTTTAAGGTGGAAATAATAGGTATATTTTTACATAAATAGTTTTTCATAAACTAAACACAAGTAGAATTTTTAAAAATATTGGAATTTTGCAGTTTCAAATAAATCCAATGCCGATCATAATAAATAACTGGCATTAGTGGTGAAGTAGATTCTGGAATGCATCTTTAGAATATATTATCTTTTACACATATTTTCTGCACCTGATTGACCTAATGAAGACTGGCAAGATCATTCAGAGTGCAATGAAAAATTTTGCCTGTCTTAAACGTTCACAGCCTCGTTTTAATGTCTGATTCGAACGACTAAACGCTTTTTTCTCGCCATCCTTTTCAAAATGTAACATTACTGGGGGTCCTAGATCAGATTTTGCAGTGACAAACATGATTTTTCCAACTCGATTATGTTTGTATTTGGTATATGCCAACTATTTAAAGACTATCGATACTACCTCGAAGCTAAGATTCTAATTCTAAAAATAATCGGTATATTTGTAATTATGGACGAAAGTGCATTGAGACGGCGATTTGTATTACCTGGGAAATGATCACCATGAACTATGTTAAATTGACTTGAAATACGACTCAGCACCAATGTTGACCTACCTGACCTCCATCAAAACTTCATAAATAAACAATTTTATTGATTGCAAATAAAAGTTAACTGGTAAACCACAAACATAGGCGGTAGTGAATTTAAGATCCCATTAAACACGAGGGACTAAAACCTTGACAAGTATGATATTGATATGATGAATGATATGAAACATGACTAGTCTTATTGAAATTAGATCAAACTTTCGTTCCAGTTTTTTTTCATTGGTTTTTATTTAAATATTTCCACTTTAGTTAGGGTCTTACGACAGCAATATTAAACGTTCGTCAAATTAACCTTTTGACCTATCTCGATGACGCTTGCTTTAACCAATCAAATTTCTACCCTCTCCAGCAATGGCATTTAGTAACGCGATATTATAAAGTTAGGTCAAAAGAGTAACTTGACGCAAGTTTCCTCATGTCAATGATTAATGTGATAAGTCGTTCAGATAGGACTATCGAATAAGATCTCGTCTGCACTTTATGAGCAAAATGTCCCCCATTCTCCACTGCCCGACACTGCTCATGTTCCTCAGGCAAATTTAGATTAGAAAAGATAATTTCCATATCGTGTCAATTCAATTCGCTCGTTACACCAAATACGACTGTCTACGTATGATTCAAGGTGAAACTAACCGCTAGTATTGACTTTGGTTTCGTGTTTAAAATTTTTCAAGGAAAGAACTTGTCACGTCTGTTTAAGAATTTCGTTGGTTGAGAAATAGTTGACAAATTTAAAATGTTTCCGAATTTTGTTACAACTCTTATTTGAATAAGCCTTTGTTTCGAATATTTTTAAATTGTTTGTTAAGAAGCGGAATACAAACATGAATTAGAATTATCATTCAAATCCACCATAACACAGCTCAAAATTAACTGTAATGCATTATCATTTTCTATATAATGCCACACCGACAAAGAAAGGGTCATTTTTACATGGTTTTTGTTTAACAATGTTCTAAAACAGAGAGAAGATTTTAATGCATCAAATTCGTAAAGATAAGATAGCAAGAATTCAGAAATCAATTCATATTTGGTAATAATACTGTGTAATGAAACTTGGTTAGTCTTCAAGATTATCCAAGATCTCACCAATCATTAATTATCGTGTGCATTGAGAAAAAAGAACAACCAACTACTTACAATGATAACAACTTAATTCACAAGGATATTTTCTAGCAGCTGGTCCTTGGCCAAACTTCTTGGCATTAAACTTTTCTCCGATTATCCTTACCCATTTACAACTGGGTCGACTAAAATCACGAGTTAAAATGACTTATTCAAGGTCACTAGACTTTCACAAGCCAACCGAGGTAAAAACTCTGAACCACCATTTGTTCGACGTAATCATGAAAATTTTGCAACGCTATTACCAACTGTGCTACCGATACCCTCATAACCAGCTGTATGGTGCGGAAAGACTTCAGTAATAGATGATCATATGTCTGTACTATATCTGTAGCTTTTAAAACGGTTATAATTCATTGATAGTTATAGCTATTTTATTTACCAGGCGCGGATCATCTTTAACAAAGCTCCGAAGAAATGGTGTTCACAGTGTGTTGTTCTGTTTTACAGCATTTAACGTCTTTCCAACCAAGTTTACCATAAAGTGCAATAATATTTTTTTTATGACCCAAGTTGATCAAATGAGACTGGGGCATTAATAAAAAGTTGACGAATCTTTAATTACTCACTTATTAATATACTTCCTCATGTGAAAAATACATTAGATGCTACCAATATTTCGTCAAAAATTTGTTACGGATTTCGGGTTCCGTTTTGCGGCTCGGATCGCTAGTACTTGGTTTATTTATATAAAAGTTTCAATTTACATATTGTCCATGATTCACAGATTTTTAAGACAAATTCCTCGAACGCGAATTGAGCTCACAAGTGTTCATTTTACATTCAGCACGTCTTATTTTAAGGGTAACTTCTTAAAAGTAAATTATCCAAGAATTTAAGCATTATCTCACTTGAAAGTTATTCATAAATTGCAATTAAAGAATTTCAGAATGAAGCTGAGCAAAATAATTAGTAAGGCAAATGATATAACCATATCCTGTTCTAGTGCATCCAGTTTCTAAAGTTTAAAAATATTCTTACCTTTTGAGTTCATCTTAATTTATAAATCCTATATACAAAATATTATTCTGCTCTCAACTTGTTCTTATTTATATGTATTCTTTCGGGGAATACAGATTCCAGATACAGAATACAGATTAGCTCTGGCTAATTTAATTCTCATTTATTTTTAAACTCCATTTTCATCCAAAAAGCACATCTCAATTACTCCTTAATCATTACAAGTATTAGGACAAACCTTGTGTTAATCTTTACCCCATGAAAACATAACGATTTCTATCACATGACTTGATTTCCAGCCAAATTCCAAATAAGGTTATGTACATGGTAAATATTGGCCTCGGTTAAATCTATACTGTTACAACCATCGAGACAAGCTTACAACACGTACTAAGATCTAAACCGGAAACTTTATGATTCTATATTTCATATTTTAGAAAGTTTTCTTCAGATCTCAAAGTCCAGGAAAGAACATTGTGCAAACGTTTACCTTTCTCCAAACATGGTCTGAGTCAGTTTTAAGATTAAGTTCATACATGTATTCATTCAACCAAACTATATTTCACATATATATTGAATGAATTTTTAAGGTAAAGCTTACAATGATACAATGTATTTCGGATTTGTAATCATTTCCTTGCAAACAGCTCAGAATGGGAAATAGAAGCTATAAGGGTAACACATCCTCATACAAAGGCTTTAAGGGCTTTTTTTAATCAAAAATTATCAAAAATTTCGGGTTCGTAACACGCGATTATTGAGGTAAATTGGTCAAATGATGGTGAATGGTGTCGAGTACTTTTAACGTTCACAACAGCTCACGTTACCGGTCTAATTTTGTGAACTTTTCTTGAATATAGGTGGGGGAATGACCCCTGTGAAGATGTTATCTAGTGTCTAATAAATTACCCAGGTGTGTACTTTGTAGCACCAAAGGGTAATTATTTTCAATGAGGAATTTGCCACATGTCAAAGTTAACAAAAAAAAAACGACATGAACCATCCCTTTAGGTTCATCAAGAGGGTATTTTTATTATTAAATCATAAGCAATGAAACATATCTACCCTTTTTTAAATAAAATAATATCTACAGACAAATAAATTTATTCAACAACATTACACTTTTAAGCATTTTCTAAATTTGACAATGTCAAAACCCACGCATATTTCACTGGTAATTTATCTATTGGTATATTTGGAAACATAATGTCAATACCGCCACCAGAACGCTTCTGCCATTCAAACTGACCAGAATATCCGATCATATTAACCGTGGTGTTTGAAGTTGGCATAGGTGCAGATAAACTGAGAACTCCATTGGATGGCCATGTTAATACTAAGGCATAAACGGTCGAATCTTTCTTAGTGTACCTGGAACAAATTACAGAATGTTCCTTAGTGGATGAAAATAATATACCAATACAAATCGGTTCGTTAGCCCGGCCAAACTTTGGTCATTTTTGACTCAATTACTCTGATGCAAATCACACACTTCAAGTACATATTGACAATATGATAAATACTTTAGAGATGAAAGTAATTCGTATTGCTGTAATCTCAAGATTTTGTGTAACAGTGTCCCATTGTACTATTTAATTGGTTTTTTCAAACCGGTATTTCATTCTTAGCATTTGTATAATATTCATCATATGGGATTTTAGTTTCAAAATTTGAAATACACCACACTGTTCATTCTTCTATTTAATATCAACAGTTTTATGACTAGTAAACCCACACTTCGTTATATTAAAAATCACCAATGACATGCAGTCGATAATATTTCAATTGGGTGAGATGCAATGGAAGAAATCGATTTAGTAGAAGAAGTGATTCTAGCACAGATGTTTTCTTCTGTATCCATGTTCCTACACTACATATGCACCACGTCGATTTGCATCTTAGACTTTAAAAATAAGTACCATGTATCTGGAACCATCGTATCATTTTGAGTCGTCCATGGGTTAGTTCCTCTAATAGCTTCCCCATTAATTCCCATCCATGCTCCCACTTGACGTAACCTTTCTTCTAATATTGGTGCTATTACGCCATCTTTCTGTGGTCCGACGTTCATTAACATATTACCACCAAGACTATCATAAATATAATAATAATATATTATGAAAATAGTAGTTCGTGGTAGTATTTACCAAAAAAAAAGTACTAACATCGCAAAACAGAACCTGAAATCCTCAACAACATATTTTGGAAACATTGGTAGCAGCTGATGAGCTTTTCACAAGAAACTACACAAGGATCCACAAAGGTCAAATTGAAAACAATAGCACGACTACATTAAGTAGATAAAGCATACTCACCTAACCGTTTGAATGAAAATAGCAAGTAATTCCTCAATAGTAAGATAGTCTTCCAGATTTGCATTCCGCCTGAATCCCCATGAACCTTTATCAATAGTCATGGTGTTTTCCCACTTTTTGGGTGGTACCTTGGCTGCAATTAATTATGAATCAAATTTTCAAGAGCCAATTCATTTTTTATTCAAATAAAACAATTAATTATTAAGAATTTTAAAGTGTCACATCTGTTCATTATGATTCATTTTCTGTTTATTTTATTCTTCGAGATGTCAACACTTTATTATTCCTAGGCGAATATAGCCCTTTAACCATTATACAAAAAGAGAAGGCAATCCTTTCCATCTGTTCTAGATTGATTGAATACATCGTGGCTGTTAAATTTGTATACTAAGCATTCTTTGTGCAACAGATACTTACTGGGCATATATCTGTCTTTACAAGTCCAATATCCACCATGTTTGCAAGTATCATTTATTCCCCATCTGTCGTTGGTTACAACAATATCCTTAATTGGACTGAAAATACCAAATAGATTTTTAATTTGTGGTATCAAATAAATACAATATTTTGTGCAATATTTTACATGAACACGTTTATGTGTAATTCAGCAAGAGACGGGGACTAACTTGAATAAGTCATTAAAGGGATAATAAAGAAGTTTTAAAACTTATATGCATTAAGTACTCCCATAGGATCGATTTGCACAATTAGAATTTTCAGTGAATCTTGTTATTCCATTAAAACAACATTCCAAACAAAATTTTGATGGAATATTAAGAACCACAGACATCTTGCGAAAAATTAGTACGGTGCAAATTGCAGTCTCATGAGCACCCTAGAAAACCTCTTTTAAATGCCTTTAGCTTTGCCTTCAGCGACAATTTCATTTGTTTCAATAACCTTCATTTTCTATTTATTCTTTTCCATTTTTTAAACAAAGCAGTAATAGATATACCTGTCATTATAAAGCCATGCTAGAAACTCGGTAGATCCCCAGTATGTGTCAGGAGCTTCATAATCGCCGTCAGACCATACAATATCAGGTTGGTATTTATTAACTATCTCATAAAGGGCAGGCATAGCTTTAGTCTAAATATAATGAACAAAATGTACATATATAAAATTGATATAGGCCACTAAACAGAAGCAATTTCAGATAAACACACCGACATTGAATGTTAAAAATTATCAGAAGCACCGATACATCACCAGTATGTGTTGATGATTCGTGTACAAACTTGAAAACTAAATGTGAGGATAGCATTGCATACATGAGCTATTATACATTATCACATATTTGTCACAATTACATCAAAGGAAGCTTTCGTCGACCTCAGTGAATGAAACAAAGCCTTGAACTCCGCTCTGTCACAACGATTTTATAGCTTTATTGAAGCCACCAGGGCGTCGAAGTAAAATTCATACGAAATAATATTAAGTTATAGAGGAAATAATATCAAGTTATAGATACAATGCCTAACTTTACCTCAGTTTTACCCTGAATTAAATTTCATCGAACGTCCGATGTGTTTAATTTATTATTTCCACATAAATTTAGATGTGAATCTCGGGATTATTTTGTAGTTATTTTATTTTGTTATTTTAATGTTGACTGTGAAAACATCAATTTACTAACTAATACTTACCCTAACGAAATCATATGACTTCCAGTTATTCGCTTTATCATTAATGTACAGAGGGTTGAGCCATTCATACAGACAGTGATACAAACCGAAATGTAGATTTGTTTTTGTCCTTATGGCTGTCATAAGTTCTCCTAGAAGAAAGATAGACACTCAATTAGATTATTTGGAAAACTATTTTTGGTTTCCGTTATCAAGTAACGCGGTCATTATGATACACATCAAGAAAACGAACTTTCGATACTGAGCGAAAAACGTTTTTATATTAAGACTGTGATTGACAAAAAATACACCCCCATGAATGTTCAGTCTATAGGCATTTTCTGTTGTTATTTACATTTTTATAGGCATTTGTAACCGATGACGTCAAATGTTCCACGTGAGAAGGGTAATGATACCCAAAGCCCTATACATCTATATATTTCTTTGATGACGCCATGGAAGTGACGACAGTGTTAAGCCACAATGGCTAGTGAAATCGGGCTGTAATGATTTTGCTTATCAACTGGTAAAGAAAGCAAAAAAAAGATAGCTTGCCAGGCAAGGTAATATACGCCCACTGGCAGCTTTGATTTTAAATATAAATATTTAGTAGTACAGTAACAATCACCAGTATGAAATATTCAACCTTCAGCGCGGGACTGATTAATAAAACCAAGTTTTGTCAAAATGCAACAAGAATCATGCCTTTTAGTGTTTAAGAGCTAACTTTGAAAGAGTTTTCAAGAACAAGGGCAATAACTCATACAAAATATTTTTCAATTCTTCTGATTTTCAATACCAAGTTCAAAACCCTTCAAGAATTGTGCCTTCTAGAGTGATAACGAGCTAAAGATTGAACGCGTATTCAAAAGCAAGGGCAATAAATCATACTAAATATTTTCGATTTTTCTGATTTTCAATAGGGTTCATCCTTGGGTGATAACAAACATTCATGCGAAATTTCGTCAAAATCCGTTAAACGAGCTAAAGATTGAACGCCAAGGGCAATAACTCATACTAAATATTTTTCTGATTTTCAATAGGGTTAACCTTGGGTGATAACAAACACTCATGCCAAGTTTTGTTAAAATCCATCAAGAATTTCCCTTCTAGAATGTTA